TTTTGCATTTCGAAGAGTATAGACGTCCAACAATTCGCAGCAAAAATGGTTCAGATGTTAGGTTGTTCAAACTCCCACTTTGCGCTGAAATTTGGGCACGCAACTAAAATGCAAAAATTGTCACCGAACAGAGTCGAACTAGACTCCCCTTCTTCTGTATCAGAGGGCGTCAGGAAAAAATTAAACATGATTTGTGGTTCCTGCATTCTGCCCCAAATATCAAATGCAAAAACCGTTTTCCAAAAAGCTCGTCACGCTCGGAAAAAGACCTCCTGTGAGGAATCGATCGGCGATAAGGAAAAGGTCCCGAATCGGTTTGAATGAAAAGGAAAAGTTGCAAGTGGGAAGCGAGATGTATCTTCGTTCGAGTAGCATTTTATGCATGGTAGAATGGGGGGGGGGGGTGTGGATGGGTGTGGAAGGGGTGTGACGGATAGGTGTGTGGGAGGCGGGGGGAAGGCGGTGGGGGTGGATTATGGAGGGGTGAGGCGGAAGGGAGGTTGTGGTGTTTTGGGTGAGGTTGGGGATGGGGGTGGGGTGAAGGCGATGGGTTACATCCATAGCTCCGTCAGAGCCACCTTGGAAGACCAAAAAATCGGTTTTAAAATTTCAGGGCATGACGAGACCGGAGTTGAGCGCACCAGGAAACCACCGTCCCTAACCCGAGCGTATCATCTTTTTCCAACGAAACAGTAGACTGATCTACGATAGAAAAAGCAGAGTCATGCCTCATCCCTTCCCGAATTCCTCAAAATTTCCCTTTCGAAAACAGGAAAGGTCATCAGTGATCATGCGCCAGTAAACTAGGGTTCTCCAACAAAGGTGAGCGAATTACCGTTCACAGAATTTTTTATGATGTATTGAATGCCAATCTCAGTCTTCTATGTGCATCTGGAAAACCAAAAAAAATCCTGATCATTCAGCAAGGCATGACGACCGTGGATTTTAAGGTTCTATACCTACGCGAGGACGCTCACTGGCCATTCCAAGTTTCCATGTAGCATACTTACAGAGAATGACTTGTATTACTGCAGGTGAGAAATTGCGCGCGCTCACAGCTTCGCACATAACATTGCTCTAAATCTGAAGCATGTCACAAAAAATTGGGCGAGGTGTGATGTTTGGGCCTTATCTACGGAAGAACCGCTCATCTCGACCAAGGTTTCATGTCAGTTCCTACAGAAGAGTCACCGTAGTTCTACGATGGTAAAAATAATTCGTCGCTATTCATAGCTTTCTGCAAAACATCTCCTCTAAAAATGGAAAAATGTCACATAATAGCCCACTTATGCCTGCTGAGTTAACTGTTCAAAGATTCCACTTCGAAATAAAAAGATGGGATATTGAAGACAGAGCACACACGTAAAAGCCAGTAAAGGCTTAAAAACAAAATGAAAATCTAAGAATTCGGATAAACTAACATTCATCTAATCTCACAATGCAGTGATGTAGATTGAGTACGTGCGACATCCTGGGTATCCTTTTTGAGACCCTTCTTTCTGTGTAGCGGTCAGCTCTCATGAGGCGGATTGATACACACCACATGCGAGCAACTACTTTTGAGATAAAATTGAGTGCATGGCCAACCAGTTGTAGGCGCGCCAAAAACTTTAGACGGATCTTATAGATCTCGACGACCTGATTCGAGACTGTTTCAGATTTGAAAATCTGAACTTTAAACCGATTTATAACGAAAAAACGAAAAAAAACGCGAAATCGTCTTTGGCGCAATTGCGCCAAATGAACGCAGCATCAAAAAATGCAATGTCCATGTCGTATCAGGGCATCGAATTACTCCCAATAGGCAAAGTTTCGCACGAAAGATTTGAAACTTTGAGATTTGGGCAGTCAACAGTGGAACAGTGGCCCAATCGGCAATAGGGAAAGGCTGAAAACGGTGAAAAACCAAAAAGTTTCAACTGGGAGGAAAGATGCATATCATTCGATAGCATTTTTTCACGGGGATCTAAAGGGCATATTTCAGTTCTGCGAGCTCATCGTAAATGCAAAAAAATTCTGATCTTTCACAAGGGCAGACGAGGAGGCCTGTTCACAGCCACAGCACGGCGAAGCGCTCGCAACAAGCAAGCATATCATCCTTTTCACATCACAAGTAAGCGTACTCTGCAACTGTAAAGGAATTTCGCCCGCTAACCCCTCAGATTTCGGAAAACCTCGCTCAAACATTGGAAAATTCACAAAATAGGTCTAACTGTTTCTGCTGAAAAATGATCTATGATTTCCATTTGAACACGAGAGGAGTTGTTGAGCGCAGTCATGTACATTTTGAGTCATTTAATGCGCCACTATGGAATAGGGACCATGAAATCTGAAATAAAGCAATCGATTCTTTCACAATACAATGAACCATGTTGAATACGCGGCGCGTTCTGGAGCAACTACTGAGACCCATCCTTCTGAAGAAAGATCAGAATGCATAAGCGGGATTATATGCGCACCACATTCAAACAAATTTTTCTCGAGCCAAAGCTCGAGTGCATGGCGCAATCTGAAGTAGGGCTTTTTAAAAGTTTAAAAGCACATTCTTATAGAACTCGACGAGCTGAGTTCAATGCTTTTTTCATATTTTGAAAATCTTAATTTTGGACCGAGTTATAACGAAAAAACGAAAAAAACGCGAAATCGCGTTTTTCGCGAGTTTTTGACGTTTTTTACGGCGAGTACCGTATACATCTCATTTCAAATGGCCGGGTTGATCAAATGAGCTTCCCTGATGAGAGCTCAACGACCTTTTTGAGGTTTACAGTTTCCACAAAAGCCGTCCAGATTCGACCTATAAAGTAATGGAACGAGGAAGATCAGGTTTCAACTAAACCCTTGAGAGACTGGGAGAATAGTACCAGCATCCGATGGATGCACAGAACTATTAGGAAGAGGAATGATCAGAAAGACCACCGGAGCGCGAGTGAGAATGCCGAACAGCTTGGAACTCCTCAAGAATCTATTCAAATGACAGCAAAAGTAAGCACGGATCAGAAGGTGGTCACCTATCAAGGGGAATTTATAGTCGTTCAAAAAATGCAGGATCGGAAGAAAAACGTTAGAAGTCACCGAAAGTTCCCGAGGTGGGGCGATCCCTGAACTATTCTAAAATTTCACAGGAAGACGGCTAGGGTCTGAGCAGCTGGGAAGTCGCGGCATCGCCTTCCAATCCTCCGCTCAACTCTCGAGAGCATTCATGCTCAAAAAATATCCATATAATACCATCAAACTTCCAAGAATTTTGTTTCTTGAATGTTCGATGATATGTGTCTGTACCAGTAATTCAGACATGCCTCCATAGGTTTTCATAAGTGAATCATAAGAAAGCTTAGGTCTTTTCAGGACAAATTCATGATAACTTCGTTTTTTTACCAGGAGTGGCTTTGGCCCATAAATCAATGCAACGATTCAGTTCTCTGAGATCAGTATCGGCTCTCGTTTGGCGATGGCCTTGTTATGATCTTCCAGTCCGAACGGACGAAATGCAAGACGATTGATGACTTCCAGGATGAATATCCAAATTCAGGAGAAAGCTAGGCATCTTTCTACAGAGCCGTCGACTCAATAGAGAGCAAATCGAAACCTGTATCGAAACTGATGGCAGCCACTCCAAAAATTCTTCGCAATCATAAAATGTCACGAGTTCATAATTTAAAGTGATTCCCTTCAAATTTTGGTGAACAAACGTGAAGTTTAATTTTTCTCCATGCGGCACGTAATTTTTCTCCGCCCTGTAGGTCATCAACAAATATACCGCCCGTTCTGTGTACCCGCATCCCGTCCATGCATAGCACATGCCTCTTCGGCAGCTGGGCACGATGAGCATCCTGGGCCGCCTTCAACTTTAGCTGACTATGCTTCAACGAGGGAGAGTTCGTTGTCCCTTGCAAGGGAAGTAATCCTGTCCTTCCAAGTGTGCGTTGAAGAAATACCGAAAAAGCTACCCGGAAACTGGATTTCGGCCCCTTATCACGCTAGATTAGGAGCCCCTGCCACTCAAACACTACCTTTCCGATCATTGTTCAGGGCCCCTATCTACGTCTGCAGGTGGCATTCCTTATCGTTCCCATGGGACTTGTCGTGGCCACTTTTTTTGAGTTGGAGCCTTAAGTCTGCACTTTACACATCAGAAAACAGAGAGCTCGCGAATTCCAGGTTTTTTTCTTCATTTTGTACAAAGTTGTTTATGAATAAAATCTATATTCGCCGATGAGTGCCATCAGAATGAAGGGAGCCTTTAGGCAGGACTCATACAAAAATCTCCAACTGCATAATTTTTGACATAATGAACATATAAGATCATTTTAACACGTTGACGACATCGCATGTTTTGGCATTTTGCACCTCGTGGGACAGGAGCGATTTTGCGAGCGCACCGTCGTCACCTTAGTTCCGCTTATTATTTGTTAAAAATGCACAACAACTTTGAGTTCATAGGATTATTCTGGCGAGGATGAAAGCATAAAGGTTAACTATGTAAATAGCTGTAGGTTTTTGTTTAGGAGAACGCGTAATGACCACGAGGAAGTAAAAAACATCACTTTCGCTGCGAATGAAATTAAAAGCATCTATACCTGAGTACTTCCATCAAATACAAATATCTTGAAACTTACAGAGGTTTTTTTGTTAATTATTCTACAATCTTTCATGTGAAAGTTAACGACAGTGAAATTGATACTTGGAAGGAATCGAAATGAAAATTTTGAGCATTCAGAAAATCTTTGCTATATCAAGGGATAATTGAGCACTATTGCTGCCATGTGGTTTATAGTTATGCTAATATTTCATCTATACAATGAATACAAAAAACTCGAGAAGAAGGGGCGCAAGCGCAATAAAAATTAATGACATAGTTGTGACGCGCATGCGCGTCAGCCTGTCGTCAGCGTGTTGCTTTAGACTTGCTCTGATCAGAATATCTGTCTACTAGAATATTATTATAACTATCTTCCTAGTTGTACGACTTCATGATTTTTGCTCGTCCTGTAGCACTTTCTTTACAGAACGCTGCACATAAGGCTCACCCAATAACATAGTGTAGAAGGAATATCGGGATCGTAGTCCGTCGGAGATCCATCTGCCCATGTTGACTGTGTTTTCAAATTTGTCAGCAACCATACAGAGTTCATCATTGGCGTGGTGTTGGGGCATTCTATTTTAAACATTTTCTTCGCCAATTCTGCAAAAGAAAGCTCAATCTGAGCTCGACTTTGTACTGCTACACATCCTCTGACTTAACCATGTGCAGGACATGGTAAAGCACGTTTGGTAATGGACATATTCGATAGTTTCTAGGCTCTGATATTTCAAAGGCATGGTTGTATCGCAAGAGCGCTATGTTTCTCTTTTGCAAGCAGAAATCGTTGCGAAGCGCGAAGTGCGAGATAAGAAGGAATTTGAAACGCGAGGAGAATTACTTAAACACTCTACGATCTGATTTCAAGCTGCATATAAAAGGCTGGCACATGCGAATGAACATCTCCTTCTGTTTTGAAGCCTACTAGCATTTTCCTTCTTTCTAGGATCGATTTTATGTATTTCGTGGGATATCTCCTACTGCACTGATTTTTATGTTTTTTTTTTGCGATATTTTTCATTGTATTGGTTTCCCGCGTGGTGCTGATTAATTTGTGCATTGAAATACTTGTTTCTAGTTTAACCAGATTAGTCCCCCGTCAACCGCCGGGACCTTCCTTCCTGCGCAAGCTTTCTATCGCTCTCGCATGGTCCCTTCCTCCTGTGACACCATCACCTCGTGGAAGTGACGCGTATGCAACACAATGGTGTTTCAAACAGTAGAAGGGACACAATCATGATATGACGGTAGATTTTTCGCTTCCCTTCCTCATCCTTCCTTCCTCTCTCCACTGCCCTCCAGCTGCCACTGCAGCACCATGTGGAATGAACGGAAGTGTGCTAAGCAGGTGTTTATATAGCCCTGAGAGTGTTATCACAACTATCCTGCTACAAAACATTGATATCTCAAATCCTGTAAGCTACCCGATTTGTTAGCGGTTTGTTTATCCCATGAGCTTCCTTCTCACTCACTTCATTTTGCGGACGGACACACATACATACATACACACACACATACAGATACACAACCGAACAACCCCCGTAACAAAATTAGCGCTTTATAAAATAGGATTACCGAAGTCTGAGATCAATAAATGGTCGAATGTGGTGTACGTGCGTAACAGGTAAAAGTCAACCCGCATGGCACAGTTGAGTAGGAACTACAATTTTAATTTCCACGTTCTCCTCCGCACTAAATACAGAATTACATTTCACTAAATCCAAACAAAGTGGCCACAATGAAAAATGAGGACCCATCACAGTCTATCAGAAAAGTTCGTAATAGCTTTCTGGAGAACCGAAGATTTTTTCAGGAATACGATGTACCCTCGAATCGTCCAGATCGTGAGCCATTTCGGGCTTTTCTAGAAAAGTTTATTTTCTGTGGAGGAGTCTAATTTCCTATTTGCAAGTACCATGATCTGCAAGTCTTTATACATAGCCACACGAGGCATATATGAAGCAGACTAATCGATAACCCATCGATAAGTTCTAGAGAAGATTTTGTAGAAAGTCTTGCAAATCGACCTCGCTCGTCAAACTTCGCGCAGGTCTCGAAGGCAAACTGAAATGGGAAGGTAAACAAAGAAACTGAACCGCTTCTGGAATCGTTCGTTCTTAAACACCAAACATCAAGCAAACAAAGCCAATGCTGGGTGCTTAGGGCGAGGCGTGTTGAAAGTCGGACGCAGCTGACTCTATCGAATGACGCCTCTGACAAGGAAGGTCTTTCAGGACATGGAGCGCTTTTCGAAACGGTTCTCTTGTAGAGGATGATGCGAGGAACACAGAACCATGATCTATTTTTCCTGAACGCCTTCAGGAATGTCGAAAAAGTCGTGAAGAAATGGTATAGAGTTCGATCCCCGGTGATGACTAATTTTTGCAATATAGTTTGGCGCCCCCAGATTGCCGCCAAATGGTGCCATCGCCGAGTATAGATGTCATAGTCGTGTTCTGCGGCAATTTGGAAGCGCCAACATAACTTGCAAGAATTTGTCGTCACGGGGGATCGAACTTTGGACCATGTCTCTCCCGCTCTCTTCACATACCCGGGGGCGTTCAGGAAAAATGAACTATGGTTCTGTGCTGTTCACATGAGCCTCTACAGCATTCAGGTAACCATTTTGAAAAAACGTTCATGTCCTGAAAGACCTCCCTTGTGAGAAATGAGTTAATCCAGTGTTCCCATTCACTAAAAACATTTTCGAGGGCTAAGCTTCGTGTTCCTTGGTCGGAAAATCGACACGATCTCATTTCAGATCAGACAAGAAGTGGCGGTGTTGAGTGTATATAACAACGTTGATGGAAATATGGAGAAGATGGGGAACATTCTACTCCGCACCCAACTCTAGCACATCGCAGTCCTTCCTTACCGCACGTCTTGGGAGCTTAAAATCTGCGCAGACGAATACAACCATTCGGTCAGCATTATCTAATGCTCAGAACATGACGTTGTAAGTTGTCCTGCACAAGGGAAAGCAGTACAGCAAAAACTTGGAGCTTCTCCTTCCGAAACGCTGCTATTCTCCCCATGGTGTCAAAGATCTGAGATGAGCCATTCATACGACATTGTGATGACCACTGGCCTAGATGGCTGTTCTTCGGAAAGAGGCCGCAAAATAGGCAGACTTTTCCACAGAATCTATGAAAAAGGGAAGTTGGCATCTTTGTACTAGCTGAAGAAAAAGAACCACTGGTACGCCGTTTTATGTGAGAACGACGAAGGAACGTGTTGTTGGCACTAGAGCTTATGAGATGATACAGTGCAATCAGCTAACGCTCAGTATTTTAGCATTTATGTTGGGAAGCTTATGGTGTTGATGAATGTTATCTGAGATGAGAAAAAATCAATTGGCGACTAGTAAGCTAACGCTTTGAAAAAAAAAACCAATAAAATGTCATCTTCAGATGCACTAGATAGTGGAAGCGGTAACTATCAATGAATTATTAGCGCAGGATTCGCGTATTATTGGGATCTATAGCAACCCCTACGCTACTACCGCGCATTTCACTAAATATGGAGCCAGATGGATTCGACCAGCCGATGGAACTGGGTAAACTGCAAAAAACGATGCAAATGACTATGCCGACGTTCACATTCGGTCTTTACGCAAGTTGGCAAGAACCCACAGACCACATCAAAATTCTCATCAGTAAGGTCTTTAGGTAGTGCCCCATTTTTTTGAAAACGGTTGTGGAACATGTACTCTAGTTTTTCGTTTCTTGGTGGCCGGAACTTTTTGAAACCAGGTTCTGGGACAGATCTGCTCATGTGGGTCACTGATGTTCCTGATGGTAACATAGATTCACTACCAGCCCGTGGATCATTTTGCGACACCATGCAAGCGACACTCGAAAATGCAAAACTCTCTGTCACCTTAAGAGACCGGACCACGGACAAAATTTTTTTAAACTTTTTCACACCTTTTTGCCATTCGGAGGGCATCTCAGGAAAGATTGCATTGTTCTATGCTTCACGCTCACTTTCCTACAATATGCAAAACACGTTTTGAAAAATGTGATCACTATCTAATAGACATTTCCTGTCAGCACGAAGATTCCCCAACTTTTATGCTTCCGACAGCCGTCACACCACTTTCTAAAGTCGATGCATCGGACGCCAAGGGGGATCAGATCTAAGAAACACCTTTTCAATGTTTTGCTAGAGAGGAACATGCTCGGCAGAACGAATCGGGGAGGAACGCTCTCAGCCTCGCAACATTTTCAACACCCGAAGTATTGTGCTAATTTGACGAAGGGAGACGTCAGCATGAAGGCAAAGCGGAAACGAGCCAATCATGCCATCGATGTTGCATTCACCAACACCGAGACAGCTCTCATCAGACATATGGTCAATATAGCAAACCATACACGCCAGTATCAGAAGGTGCAGCATCGTCTTGTATCATAGTCAAGACCAATCTATGGGCTCGAGCGACTTCGCAGTACTACTTGACAGAATCTCCTACCTCTTCGTTGCAGACGCACACTTTAACTTGCCCAAAATCCAGTCTGTCTCAAATCTGCTTTAAGGAGAGTGCTCTGGAAATCCAAGCTCTTCGCTTAATGCGAGAACTTTCTCTTCTCTTTCTTTGAGATCCTTCTCCTTTATACACCTGTAGGAAATGCCTGACCGTCTTTCACTAGCACGTTGACGCTGCATCCGAAAAATTGCGGAGTGTCTTCAACTGAAGCAGCAAGTATACATCCTACCAGTTTGATATGAAGCTTATGATTGAGGGTTCCAATTCTGATCCCAATCCTATTCTAGGAAGTACAGGTTTCTTGCCATGCTAGGCGGTATTAGGTTTCTCTTAGAGAATAGAAACAAAAGCCTCCCTATTAGGGTGATTCCTAGAGAGGCAAGAACTTTGAATGAAAGATTTCGTACACTCGATTCTCTGGGCAAGTATTACACCCTCTGGTGGGTTGACCACATGAAGGCCAAACACGAAATGCGTTTAAAAATGGGACTGATCTGCTTCGCCAACCCAATCCTTCTTCGAAGCCCCCAAAGGACACACTATTGCACCATCCCATTATCGCGACTAAGATTGCTTGGTCCGAGTAATGGTCACCGCTGCTGCTCGAAACGCCCGACAAGGGTTCTCAAGTTGCGAACGGACATCTAGTGCAACCACGCATGCTCATCTGGCTGGGTGCTTATTGTCTCTATGACTGTTTGCCTCGATAATCCCACTTCAGAAAATAAAACCAGGATCATCATTTGGAGTGTTTTCAGTTGCCATTTTCTTCTTCTTCATTGTACGTCGAGTTAATCATTATGAAGTCTGCATTTATGGCAATTTGCCGTTGTGGGAAATGCGGGCAAAGCTGCGAAATATTCACAGTGGACTGAGCAGAATGATCAGTATTAATGTCGACGTTCTGAAGTATAGTCAGAAGCTAAACGACCTTGAAGAAACAGTCTTTCTCCTCCAGAATGGTATGAAACGAGATCGGAAGAGTCTTTCTTGCAAAAGTTTCTTGCAGCTTCGTGCTCGAACATCTCCTCTTCAAAGACTTTCTGGGTCGCTATCACCTGAAAATTCAATTGATGAGGTGAGCTTCTAGAAAGTGAGATAATGATCGAAAGGGTTTGAGGAAGGTTAAATGAGGGAAAGAGGCTTTTAAAAATATCCGGAAATGGTTGCTTGAGGGCAAACTCTGTGATTAGACAAGTTTTTTGGATATGTTGGACAAGCCCGCAATTAATGTCTACATACTCGGTTAAAACTATCACAAGAGAGCTGCAAGGGTGAATAACGATCGAGAGTTCTGTACTATGGGGTGGTGCTTCCCCAGTAATATAATACATTCCACATATTCATCAAATGGAAAAGTGTTGATTATGGAGACGGAGGATATAAAAAAATAATCAAAGGTATTGCACTGCCGTGTCCATCTTCTTGGCGCAGTGTTTACCAAAGTTGATGTGGTAGGCGGTATGCAATGCCCCACATCCCATTTATATTCAATTTAATACCTAGTCCAAGATTGCACATGCGGCTCCTGTCATATAAGAGTGAGCATATAAATAACGTATGGGGGTGTAGGCAAGTAGGCGTCAGACTAGTAGCCGAGCATGATAGTTTTACAGCATTCGCCGTTTGAAATCGAAAATCCACGCGAATCCCGCGTTTTCGCATGAATTTCGTGAATTCGTTATAACTCGGTTCAAAATTGAGCTTTCGAGAGTCCGAAGGTACCTTTGAGCTCAGCTCGTCGAGCTCTATGAAAATATTCTTTAAAAATCTGAAAAAGCTCAATATAGGGTTGCGCCATGCACTCGAGTTTCATCTGGAGAAACAGCTGATTGGATGTGATGCGTGCCTTATCAGACTGGTGGAGCCTGATAGTTTCATAGAAAAATGGGCATGGAGCATTGTATCAGAATGCGCTATGTACTCGACTTTGTCACTAGATTGCGAGATTGATTTAAACTTTTTTCAAGCTTCCGTGATTTCTATATATTTCATTACAAGGAGGTGAATTGTGAGCGGTGTAGCTCTGCGCCCAAAATCCCATTCTCTTGAGTTTGAACGCGAACTTTAGATGTTTTTAGCAGGAATAGCAGTCTCATTTCGTGATATTTCCTAGTTTTCCAAAATTTTTTTGGAGAAACTTGAGGAGATAGCGACGAAATCTCCTTACTTTCCTACACTGCGCTTACTTATCTGTAGGAAATACATGATGCGCTTGGTTGCAGGTGAGCGCTGTTTCCGTGCAATGGCTCCAAACATCACTCCTCGTCATGCCCTTGTAGAAAGATCTGGTTTTTTGTTTTTTTCGTGAGCCTTTGAAAGTGAGATGTGCACTGTTAGATTCCTCATGAAAAGTACTACTACGGTATGCAACACTGCCCATACACTCAACTTTGATTTTTCACCATTTTTAGCCATTTCCTTACTGCCGATTGACATCTACAGCCCTTGGCGGCCACGTGGCATTCACGTGCGCGGTGCGTGAGAACTCACATGCAGGGTCAACCCTGCTGCGCAAATTCCTAAATTTTTACGACCCCCTCCTTTTCAGAGGGTATCGGTACGACCCCCTCTTTTAACTATTGTGTCGTTCACATAATCTAATGCTCATCATTGATGCAGTGGGCAGTCACCGATATGAAAAAGTGGCGGACCGCGGCCAATCCGCGCGCTTTGTCTCGCTCAAAGGACGGGAATCGAGGCAGCATGGAGTTTTATTCATTGAATAGAAGGAATTTCCGAATTTTGGCGTAAGCCAATGCATGGTAATAATCGCAAGGGATTCTACTTTTAGAAGCCTGCCAAATTTTTTTTTCAATCTCTCAATTTTCCTTATTTTATAATCTGAAAAACTAATCCTTGTAGCAATTAGTTGCAATCCAAACTCCTCCATTCAGAAGATCATATTTTTCTTCACAAGCGGTCTCCTGGAACGGGACACTAAAATTCTAAAAATACAAATAGATCTCTTCCTAAAAAGTATTTGAAATAATGCAAATGTTCTACACTCCGAAAAATCGCCTCGTTGTTCCGTTTTTTGTGCACACGCGAGTTTTCGACATTCGAGCACTCCTAACTTTCTTCATACCCAACTTTTTGCAGATGTCTAAGGCTAATTAGAAACTAGAAGATTAGAGCTTCCAAACAGGTACCTTACTTTTTTCCAACGACCCCTCTCTCAAAAAATAGTGCCGTTGTTCCTTTTTTGTCACCTTGATTTTTTTTGAGCCATTTTCATGGACCGCGACTATGTAGTCTTCAAAGGCTCATAACTTCCTTCGAGGTTGATGTGATGAGAAGCGGTAAGGACCGTTGGAATCTACTTGAAGAGTACTTTATAACAGGTGTGAAATTTCCTGGAATTCTTTCTATTCCCTCGATTTTTCTAAGGGCTGCCTAGAAGTCAATTCAGCAAGTTTGCTACACTTTGTTCCGCTTAGAGTCAATTTGGAAGCTCGAAATTCTTTTCAGGAATTTTGCCTGCTCACGGCCAATGACAGATAAGGCGCTTTTGTAGGAAAACGCCTGCTCGGGCGTACGCCGTGCACCCGTTTGTGGACAGAAGTCGCACTCGCATTTGAAAGTCCTCCATTCTCTCGAAGAAGGGTTAGTATCGTGACTGAACTGCAATGTACTGTCATATGGCAATCTTGTTCTACTCCCCCATGAACTGCTATTTACTTTGTGCTCCTTGGGGTTACAGGAATGTTCGATCATCGGACACAGACCATGTTTTTGCACTCTGACCTCACGCACCGCGCACGTGAATGCCACGTGGCCGCCAAGGGCTGTAGATGTCAATCGGCAGTAAGGAAATGGCCAAAAATGGTGAAAAATCAAAGTTTAGAGTATGGGCTGTGTTTCATATCACTCGATAGTACTTCTGATGGGGAATCTAAAAGTGCACATCTCACTTTCAAAGGCTCACGAAGCAAAGCAAAAAATCAGATCTTTCTACAAGGGCATGGCGAGGAGTGATGTTTGGAGCCACTGCACGGGAGCAGCGCTCACCTGCAAAGGCAGAAGTGTAAGCGCAGTGTAGGCAAGTGAAGAGATTCCGCCGCTATCTCATCAGGTTTCTCCAAAAAAAGTCTCTTGGAAAACTAGGAAATGCCACGAATTGAGATAGTCCTGCAAGAAATTGGTCTAATTCGCGTTTGATTTCAAGAGAATGAGGTTTTAGGAGCAGAGACTACACCTCTCAACGTTCAGCTCCTTAAAATGAAATAGAAATCACGGAAGCTTGAAAAAAGTTTCAATTAATCCCGCAATCTAGTGACAAAGTCGTACGTAGCGCATTCTGATACGATGCTCCAAGCCCATTTTTCTATGATTTCTCAGGCTCCACCAGTGTGATTAGGCACTCATCACATCCAATCAGTTGTTTCTCCAGATGAAACTCGAGTGCATGGCACAAGCCTACATTAAGCTTTTTTTAGAGTTTCAAAGAATATTTTCATAGAGCTCCACGAGCTGAGCTCAAAGGTATCTTCGGACTCTCAAAGGCTCAATTTTGAACCGAGTTATAACGAATTCACGAAATTCATGCGAAAACGCGGGATTCGCGTGGATTCTCGATTTCAAACGGAGAGTACTGCATATATGCATCGAATGGCGTGCTCCGCCTATTGAAATAAACGCCTAATAGCCAAATCAATAGGTGTCTTTTTTTGAAAAGTCGCCTGATTAACTATTAGCCTAGTGTGTCGAGTGTGCGCTACAAATATTGCGTCATAAACAATTTTGTACTGTGATAAAATACTGCTATCTCTAAGCTTCATTTGATATTGCATTGATGATCTGATCTTGAAGCTCTTGTGTTTTACCATTTACCAGATTAGTCCCCCGTCAACCGCCGGGACCTTCCTTTCCTGCGCAAGCTTTCTATCCTCCGCTATGGTCCCTTCCTCCTGTGACACCAACACCTCCTGGAAGTGACGCGTATGCAACACAATGGTGTTTCATACAGTAGAAGGGACACAATCATGATATGACGGTAGATTTTTCGCTTCCCTTCTCATCCTCCCTTGCCTCGCTCCACTGCCCTCACAGCTGCACTGCAGCACCATGTTATGTGAATGAACGGAAGTGTGCTAAGCCGTTGTTTATATAGCCCGGAAGGAGTGTGTATCACAACTATCCTGCTACAAGAACATTGTAGTTCTTAAATTCCTGTAAGCTACGCCCATCTGTTTATCGGTTTGTTTATCCCATGAGCTGTCCTTCTCACTCACTTCATTTGCGGGACGACACATCTACATACATACACACGCACACACACACGCACACACACACATACAGAACACAACCGACACACAAGTTAGCGCTTTTAATAATAGAAGGAGGTTGGTTAGTCTTTCGCAATAATGCCATCAATCAGACCTTAAAAATTACAAACAATTGCACATGATCAACTAGTGTACATTTACAAAAACTGTATTACATCAATGCATACCAGCCGAGAAAAGGAGAGTAAAGGGACCTTCCAGGGTCGGGTGTGAATGGGAAATTGAAGCACTAACCCCGAGGCAAAGGACTTAGTTGATTACGAAAGAAGAAGCCTCAGAATGTCACATAGCTCCGCTTTTGCATTGATTTCTGGCTTTATACGATGTATTTCCCGCGCCTCCATGATTTTCCTTTCCAGCGGCCGCCCACCTAAATGTCTGTTGAAGGAACGTCACGTCAAAGGACGCGGGCGTCGCCTCTCTCATGCTTCAATGGTGCGGGTGTCGGGAAAACTGCTGCGAGGATAAGGAGGACATTTCAGCACCTTCACCGATGTTCAGTTCCGACTACTCTCTGGTTTGCGAGTTTTGAATGTAGTGTTCTATAATACAAACTTTAACAACGCGCGGACCGCAGTGCAAGCTGTTTTATTCCCTTCTGCGATAGAAAACCGCTCAGCCAGGTTTCCATGATGGGATTTTCTGCAGATGTAAGATAAAGGACCTTATCGAATCGGCACTGGAATGCCAATATTTTCCGCTTTTGACAACAATTTTACAAACAGAAACGAGGCTTA